CCTAAAACGGCTCGTTCTAACACGCCCCCACATATCTACGTCACTATTTGGGCGGCATTATGCAACTCTTCCCACATCTTCACGCAAAGAAAGAAGGCGTAACTTTTATTCTCGCTGTAGTATTGTTGCCGCCGCCGCCATGTCGTGAAGGCGCTGTGTGCTTCGTTGTGAAAGCGAAACTACTTTGTTTGGTCTTCCAAAAGAGGACGATGTCCACTTCGTCATGCCTGGAGCTGATCTGTGCTGGTCAGTCACTGAGGAAATTCTTCAACTTTGCGCTGTGCATCGCCGGAACGTCTTTCACCGTGGACGAAGCGGAGTCCAGCACGGGGTCGTCACATGTGGCTGCCGCAGGCATCACAATATGGTAGGGACGTAACATTTCCGTCACACGCTTGAGGAATTCGGCCAATCACAACGCACTGGATAGCTGGCCAATCACAGCACACCTCGCTTTTCAGACCGATGAACTTTGTAACAATCGAGGTGTTTCAGAAAGGCGGGGCATAGAGGAGAAACAATAATGTACAGTATGTGGAAAATAATGTGTTTTTTTAACCTTAAACCGCATAAACACATAAAATCATTACACCAAATACACAAAATAATGTTCTTTTCAGCAACATCATATGACCCCTTTAAAAGAATGTTGGCTTTTGTAAAGGTATTTAAAGGGAGAAAACGAACTACCTGTTTTACATAAATGCAAGGTAAAAGAAACTTATTCTGAAACCTATTCTGCTTATCAATGCTCTAATAATACACAAAACAGTGTCAAACATAACATGAACACTAAACTTGAAGTAGTGCAATTAAAATCCAAGTTTACAGCTCTAAGTGTAATTTTTACTTCACAAATGTGGATACAAAATCAAAACAATCTCACCTCTGCTGTCGCCCATGATGTGCAGCCGGGCTCTGCTGATCACACCGGCTCACTCGCTCTGATGTCGAATGGCTGTTCAACTCAAGACCGCGGACTGAGGCCCGGGCCTGGATCTTTTACTAATCTACGTTATCACTGCAGATTACAAAACATTGTGAGAATGCCACTTAAGAACACTTAAACTAGTTGGCTTTTGTAAAGGTATTTAAAGGAAGAAAACGAACTACCTGTTTTACATAAATGCAAGGTAAAAGAAACTTATTCTGAAACCTATTCTGCTTATCAATGCTCTAGTAATACACAAAACAGTGTCAAACATAACATGAACACTAAACTTGAAGTAGTGCAATTAAAATCCAAGTTTACAGCTCTAAGTGTAATTTTTACTTCACAAATGTGGATACAAAATCAAAACAATCTCACCTCTGCTGTCGCCCATGATGTGCAGCCGGGCTCTGCTGATCACACCGGCTCACTCGCTCTGATGTCGAATGGCTGTTCAACTCAAGACCGCGGACTGAGGCCCGGGCCTGGATCTTTTACTAATCTACGTTATCACTGCAGATTACAAAACATTGTGAGAATGGCACCCACTTAAGAACACTTAAACTACGACTGACTCGCGACAAATAAATGGCCTCAAAGCGAGTTATATTTCATTTCTATGTAAACATGACAGAAAAAATATTTTTGCGTCTATTTACGTGATTTTTGCACGCATAGTAACTGTATACAATAGATTCAATGTATTCTAAGTGGATTTAGCTCGATAAAACAAGATTAATCGCGTGCAAGAATGCAAAACGAAATTTCCAGTATCGGCTAGCTCACTGGATAGCTTTAATTTACCAACAAAACGAGCCACATTTCACATTATAAAGCTGCTCTAAATGTATGCGCAAAGTACTTAATGTCGTTTTAGTGAACGACACTGGTTTTATTTACAGTTATTGTGTGTAAAAACACACGCATTTATATTTGTGTACAGCTAATCGACTCAACTAGTATGTTAGCTAGCACACTAATAACTCTGCAGGCACAATTTACTGCTCATAAACAAACAGCGGAAAATCGCGCATTGTGTTATTATAACAAATGTAAAGCAACACGTACCTATCAATAAGTGTAAACAACAACAGCATTCACCCGAGTTACATAAATACGATCAAGATTTATATTTTAAAATGGCTTAATTAGGGCCGCGACTGTCCGTTCCCATTTCCTCGTTGTGATACTCACAGTTGCCTTGATCTTCCTTTCCGAGGAGGAAACTGAAGCTGTTTACGTCCGAGCGTTGAAACCGACGCCATTTTGGCTCGGGTAAAGGATCAGTCGAGCCAAAATGTCTACAAGTAAAGTTAGTTTCTTCATTGGAAGTACATTATAGAAGTGCTTCTGGGCGATTCTACAAACGTGTGTCGCATTGGCATGTTTACATAATGGCATAACAATTACATCAAGTGTTGTATTAAGTTATATATCCATTTTGTAAATAAAATCACAAAAATCTTTTTTTATTATTTTTTAAACATCTTTGTTTCATTCTTTTTTATATATATTATTATTAAGAGTATTTAAGGAAAACATAAAATTCTAATTTATGTATTAAGGTAAGGTTTCACTTAAAATATTTTTAAATGTGTTTTACATGGTTGACACAATCTTGTCATTGCAGTTTGTCAAGAAAACTAAGTCCAGTTTTTTTTGTGAACTCAGCTGCCATCCACAGGCAAGAGTACTTTACAACAGCTAACCATTCCTGCAGTTAGACATAGTTGCAATGTAATTACTTTTGCAATGCTTCATAAATACATAACATAAATACTCATGCATTTTTTCCACATTTGCACACTCCACATTGTAAACATTGAACCCACTGGATTTCCAGCCGATTTTCTCTCTCCAGCAAAGGCGAATACATTTTAGTCAATATCACAGACCCGATTATTATCACCCGGATCATCTTTATTGAGTTTAAACAGAACCTACAAAACAAAACATGCAAGATGTACAGAACTTTACATACAAATGAGCTGTGAGAGTATTTGAGAATGAAAGGTCACCGGGTCAAATAAATGTGAAACCGTACACTGCATTAGCATCACACACTGTCAAGTTGTTTACTAGTTTAATCTATTTTTCACAAGGTGCAAAGCGCTTCTTGACAGCATAATGACAATCATTCGACATTTAAATATTAAATATTTAATGATTTACTCACCAGCATGGTTTAGAGCAAATGTGATGGATGTGTTTTAGAGAAGATACACCAATATCACACAGCTGAATCTTTAACATGGAGTCTGACTAGTGCAGCTTTATTATTTGCTCTTATATTTCAGCGAGTTTTATGTGGTCATATTTTAATGAAGTGCAGCTTGTCAAATGCAAGATATTCATTTATTTATTGGCTGATTATAAATAAGCAAACGGGCGGAGTCGGGATGTGTTTAATAGGAGCGGATTGCAGGGGGAATGGCAGCACATTCCTCTGCGTTCAGAGAGTTGTCAATCACAGGTCTGTATTCCAGAGTAACCTGAAACACAAGTTTGTACGTTATATTAACGTACGCTTTTTCTTGTATGCAGACTATCAAGAAAGATTTAAAAGGTAAACAAATGAACGGAAAGCTAACAATAGCAAAACATTCTCACAATGAACCAGAGGATTCATTATATATTTACCTTTCCTGTCTTGGGATCCACGTAGGACAGTGTGTGTTTCCTCCAGTGCTGCTCGAAAGGCTTCTTCACTTGTCCCTGCAGAGACTTAGAGTAATCGTACTCATCCACACGGTCCTGTAAGAAACACAGGGTAACAAAACCATTAAAGATGCAAACATATTATCAACATGACAGTTTGCTCAAAAAATTAAATTTGTTGAAAATGTATTCACCCTCAGGCCATCTAAGATGTAGATGAGTTTGTTTCTTCATCAGAACGGATTTGGAGAAATGTAGCATTCCATCACTTGCTCATCAATGGATCCTCTGCAGTGAATGGGTGCCGTCAGAATGAGAGTCCAAACAGCTGATAAAAACATCACAAGTAATCCAGACGACTCCATCCATCAATTAATGTCTTGTGAAGTGAAAAGCTGCGTGTTTGTAAGAAACAAATCCATTAAGATGTTTGAACTTCAAACCGTTTCTTCCGGCTAGAGTCCATAATATAGCTTTTTTTTTTTTACAGTGGAAAATGTTCTCTCACCTTAATCAGGAGAGAAATTATCATCAAGCACTGTTTAAAAGCCAAAACATTATTTTTCACTGGAGGAAAATGTATTATGGACTCGTATTTAGCTGGATGCATCAGTTTGAAGTTAAAAACATCTTGACGCAGCTTTTCACTTCACAAGAGAGCTGATGGACTGGAGTGGTGTGGATTACTTGTGATGTTTTTATCAGCTGTTTGGACTCTCATTCTGACGGCACCCATTCACTGCAGAGCATCCATTGGTGAGCAAGTGATGCAATGCTACATTTCTCTAAATCTGTTCCTATGAAGAAACAAACTCATCTACATCTTGGATGGCCTGAGTATGAGTACATTTTCAGCAAATTTTTACTTTTGGATGAACTATTCCATTAAGCTGCAAGACTACAGATTACATTCAGATAAAAAAAATCAGACAGCTTTGTAAATTTACAAAATGTTGTCCTTAAACATGCATGCTGGTTTCAGAAAGTTCACCTTGAAGTCCTCGCGGGCATGAGCTCCTCTGCTCTCTGTACGGGCCTCAGCGGAGACGATTGTCTGCACTCCGTTCAACATCAGATTCTGCAGCTCCAGAGTTTCCACCAGATCAGTGTTCCAGACAATGCCTGAAGACATAACAGCAGCACAAAGTACATTCAATTTTTTCAAGTTTCTTTGATGAATAGAAAGAACAGCATATTTTGAAACAAAAATCTTTTGAACAAAGTCCAGTTTCTCACTTTTAATCACCACATTTCACATTATAAAGCTGCTCTAAATGTATGCGCAAAGTACTTAATGTCGTTTTAGTGAACGACACTGGTTTTATTTACAGTTATTGTGTGTAAAAACACACGCATTTATATTTGTGTACAGCTAATCGACTCAACTAGTATGTTAGCTAGCACACTAATAACTCTGCAGGCACAATTTACTGCTCATAAACAAACAGCGGAAAATCGCGCATTGTGTTATTATAACAAATGTAAAGCAACACGTACCTATCAATAAGTGTAAACAACAACAGCATTCACCCGAGTTACATAAATACGATCAAGATTTATATTTTAAAATGGCTTAATTAGGGCCGCGACTGTCCGTTCCCATTTCCTCGTTGTGATACTCACAGTTGCCTTGATCTTCCTTTCCGAGGAGGAAACTGAAGCTGTTTACGTCCGAGCGTTGAAACCGACGCCATTTTGGCTCGGGTAAAGGATCAGTCGAGCCAAAATGTCTACAAGTAAAGTTAGTTTCTTCATTGGAAGTACATTATAGAAGTGCTTCTGGGCGATTCTACAAACGTGTGTCGCATTGGCATGTTTACATAATGGCATAACAATTACATCAAGTGTTGTATTAAGTTATATATCCATTTTGTAAATAAAATCACAAAAATCTTTTTTTATTATTTTTTAAACATCTTTGTTTCATTCTTTTTTATATATATTATTATTAAGAGTATTTAAGGAAAACATAAAATTCTAATTTATGTATTAAGGTAAGGTTTCACTTAAAATATTTTTAAATGTGTTTTACATGGTTGACACAATCTTGTCATTGCAGCTTGTCAAGAAAACTAAGTCCAGTTTTTTTTGTGAACTCAGCTGCCATCCACAGGCAAGAGTACTTTACAACAGCTAACCATTCCTGCAGTTAGACATAGTTGCAATGTAATTACTTTTGCAATGCTTCATAAATACATAACATAAATACTCATGCATTTTTTCCACATTTGCACACTCCACATTGTAAACATTGAACCCACTGGATTTCCAGCCGATTTTCTCTCTCCAGCAAAGGCGAATACATTTTAGTCAATATCACAGACCCGATTATTATCACCCGGATCATCTTTATTGAGTTTAAACAGAACCTACAAAACAAAACATGCAAGATGTACAGAACTTTACATACAAATGAGCTGTGAGAGTATTTGAGAATGAAAGGTCACCGGGTCAAATAAATGTGAAACCGTACACTGCATTAGCATCACACACTGTCAAGTTGTTTACTAGTTTAATCTATTTTTCACAAGGTGCAAAGCGCTTCTTGACAGCATAATGACAATCATTCGACATTTAAATATTAAATATTTAATGATTTACTCACCAGCATGGTTTAGAGCAAATGTGATGGATGTGTTTTAGAGAAGATACACCAATATCACACAGTTGAATCTTTAACATGGAGTCTGACTAGTGCAGCTTTATTATTTGCTCTTATATTTCAGCGAGTTTTATGTGGTCATATTTTAATGAAGTGCAGCTTGTCAAATACAAGATATTCATTTATTTATTGGCTGATTATAAATAAGCAAACGGGCGGAGTCGGGATGTGTTTAATAGGAGCGGATTGCAGGGGGAATGGCAGCACATTCCTCTGCGTTCAGAGAGTTGTCAATCACAGGTCTGTATTCCAGAGTAACCTGAAACACAAGTTTGTACGTTATATTAACGTACGCTTTTTCTTGTATGCAGACTATCAAGAAAGATTTAAAAGGTAAACAAATGAACGGAAAGCTAACAATAGCAAAACATTCTCACAATGAACCAGAGGATTCATTATATATTTACCTTTCCTGTCTTGGGATCCACGTAGGACAGTGTGTGTTTCCTCCAGTGCTGCTCGAAAGGCTTCTTCACTTGTCCCTGCAGAGACTTAGAGTAATCGTACTCATCCACACGGTCCTGTAAGAAACACAGGGTAACAAAACCATTAAAGATGCAAACATATTATCAACATGACAGTTTGCTCAAAAAATTAAATTTGTTGAAAATGTATTCACCCTCAGGCCATCTAAGATGTAGATGAGTTTGTTTCTTCATCAGAACGGATTTGGAGAAATGTAGCATTGCATCACTTGCTCATCAATGGATCCTCTGCAGTGAATGGGTGCCGTCAGAATGAGAGTCCAAACAGCTGATAAAAACATCACAAGTAATCCAGACGACTCCATCCATCAATTAATGTCTTGTGAAGTGAAAAGCTGCGTGTTTGTAAGAAACAAATCCATTAAGATGTTTGAACTTCAAACCGTTTCTTCCGGCTAGAGTCCATAATATAGCTTTTTTTTTTTTACAGTGGAAAATGTTCTCTCACCTTAATCAGGAGAGAAATTATCATCAAGCACTGTTTAAAAGCCAAAACATTATTTTTCACTGGAGGAAAATGTATTATGGACTCGTATTTAGCTGGATGCATCAGTTTGAAGTTAAAAACATCTTGACGCAGCTTTTCACTTCACAAGAGAGCTGATGGACTGGAGTGGTGTGGATTACTTGTGATGTTTTTATCAGCTGTTTGGACTCTCATTCTGACGGCACCCATTCACTGCAGAGCATCCATTGGTGAGCAAGTGATGCAATGCTACATTTCTCTAAATCTGTTCCTATGAAGAAACAAACTCATCTACATCTTGGATGGCCTGAGTATGAGTACATTTTCAGCAAATTTTTACTTTTGGATGAACTATTCCATTAAGCTGCAAGACTACAGATTACATTCAGATAAAAAAAATCAGACAGCTTTGTAAATTTACAAAATGTTGTCCTTAAACATGCATGCTGGTTTCAGAAAGTTCACCTTGAAGTCCTCGCGGGCATGAGCTCCTCTGCTCTCTGTACGGGCCTCAGCGGAGACGATTGTCTGCACTCCGTTCAACATCAGATTCTGCAGCTCCAGAGTTTCCACCAGATCAGTGTTCCAGACAATGCCTGAAGACATAACAGCAGCACAAAGTACATTCAATTTTTTCAAGTTTCTTTGATGAATAGAAAGAACAGCATATTTTGAAACAAAAATCTTTTGAACAAAGTCCAGTTTCTCACTTTTAATCAATTAAATGCATAACTGCTGAATTAAAGTATTAATCGTACTGACCCCAAACATTTGAACAGTGTGTGGCATTATTTACGACAGTTAGTGCAAGCTACAGAAAAGTGGTTATAACGTTTTAAATATAGATATGTTCCTTACAAGAACGCATCGATTTGCTACTTTATTCACCCCCCGGAGCCGTGTGAGGCACTTTTTTTTTTTTATTATGGATGGATGCACTTTATTGGACTTCTTTTGGACTGTTGAACAGAAACACCCCCCACTGCCATTATAAAGCTTGGAAGAGCCAGGACAATTTTTAATACAACTCCGATTGGATTCGTCTGAAAGAAAAAAAGTCGTATACACCTAGGATGGCTTGAGGGTGAGTAAATCATGGGCTAATTTTCATTTTTGGGTGAACAATCCCTTTAAGGTATTTGTTGTGGTATTTTGTTCCTAATTTGTCCAATTCTCCTGTGCCAGTCTTCTCTGACCTCTGTCAAATGTCTTGATGTCATCCAGTGACTTGTAGACGGAGTCCATCTTGTCACAACCTTCCTTCAGGGTGTCTCCAGTGCGGAACACAGCAGCGTGACTCTGCATGGTCTAGGGTCCAAAAGAAAAACAAAACCGAGATTCAACTCTGTTGAAATGAGTATCTTATAATGACCCCTTGAGATCATCCATTTGATCAGTCTATAACTTTGATTCTCTTAGGAAGTACCTTCTGCATATTCAGTCTGATCTCTGAGGTTCTGGTACTGCCGTTAGCAAAGCGGATCTTGTCCATATTGGCGACAGACGCCTCTCCTGCATTGGGTTTCAGAGGGGAAAGCTTCTCTCCTATGAGACAGGATGAAACCATTACACAACTGTTTTATATATAAAAATATATGAACAAATAACCATTAATGCCATACAACAGGTAATGTAATGGCAACTGGAGCATTCCTTCACCATTTCAGGGTGTATTGAAGCTACCTGGAGTGTCTGTCTCAGCAATGGTAAGGGCACAAGCGCGTCCAAACACAACCAGATCCAGCAGTGAGTTGGCACCCAGGCGGTTGGCACCGTGCACCGATGCACAGCCACTCTCACCGCAGGCGTACAGGCCTGGCACCACCGTATCCTCTCCATCCTTATGGGTGATGACCTGCGAGGATTAGAGGATATTAGTGTCATGTTCTCAAGAGAATCACTTCCACACAGTGATTTGAACATTTACGTTATGATGTAACCATCATAATGCAATCAAAATCTGTATACTATTTTCACATTCTGGGTCTGTTTGGAAACGAAGAAACTGTATTTTTCGAATACCCATTTTTAAATATTAATACAATGTTAATACTAAATATTTCTTTATAAAGCAACTTTCTGTAATGTCTATTCAATGCTTTTCTCATCTAAAACAATAATGGCATGATCTTTTGGGGGTAATTTTTAGTCCAAGTTGGTGACTGTGTTCTGGGCACAAAATAGCAGATTAATATTATAGTAAAGATTAAGTATATTATACCTTCCTTCCCTGAGCTCGATGGTCATGGACCGTGAGACCACGTCTCTAGAGGCCAAATCTTTAGCATTGGGTGCATAACGTTCCATGAACCTCTCGCCTTCACTGTTGATCAAGATTCCTCCCTCTCCACGGCAACCCTCTGTGATCAGGCATCCGGCTCCATAGATTCCTAAGAGAATTACGTCAGAGGTCATTTAAAACTAGCCATAGGGTGGCTGAGGGCTGGATATTTATAACACAGATGATCAAGTATCAACATAGACACACATAAACGCTGCAAAGAAACAGTATAACCACGGCCATAATATATAACTGTTAGATATCGCTGATGTGACATGAGACATAATCATGTTATAAACTGAAGCGGCAACTTATGTAGGCCATTCCCTCACAAGCAGTGTCAAAGATTTGTTTATGATTCTTTAATAGACAGTGAAGCCATTCTAAAGGACTTTTCCAGGCTTATGAAAGATGAAGCTCACCTGTGGGGTGGAACTGAACAAATTCGAGATCCTGGCAAGGCAGACCAGCACGGGTCACCATGGCATTACCGTCTCCTGTGCTGGTATGGGCTGATGTACAGCTGAAGTATGTGCGGCCATAACCACTGCAGAGAAAGCACAACAAATATTTTTATTTGCATGTTTGTAATAATACTTTTTTTTAATATATATATATATATATATATATATATATATATATATATATATATATATATATATATATATAAATAGCTATTTTTTTAAATAATGTCAGTTTTTGTCATAAAAAAAACTAAATATATATACATATATATATATATATATTAAAATTCAAATAATCATTATTTCAAACAGAATCAAACAAACTTCTAAAGATGTGAGTAAAACTATTGTAAGAAGAATCTTTTTTATCCTTTTAACTAAAACTAAGCTAAAAATATAAAAAATGTATAATCAAATAAAAATAAAGCTGAAATAAAATAGAATATAAATATTAGATGAAGAGCTTAAAGAAATGTTGTCTTGGAAACTAAACTAACTGAAATAAAATGTGTACTAAAATCCTTACTGAAATAAAAATAGCACTAATAAAATGACAAAAGCACACAAAACGAAAAGTGAAAATATAAAAATAAAAGTAGGGCTGCACGATAAATCGCATATTCGCGCGATTTTTTGCGCAGCTCGTCAGTGAACAACGGCTCTGTGTAGTTAATGCTGCTCAATGTGAAAGCCCGCAGGTGATGGAGATTTACCGCTGATTACAGAACCGGCTTTACTGATAAGATGCGCATTAAATATCGCATGCGATTTATCGTGCAGCCCTAAATAAAAGCTAATTCAAAATATTAATGAACACTTTAATAGTATATAATCAATACTAAAATAACACTGCTGAATGCTTAAAGGGATAGTTCACCGAAAATGGTCAATTCGGTCATCCTTTACTCACCCTCATGTTGTTCCAAACCTGCATGAATTTCTTTCTTTTGCTGAACACAAAAGATAAAAAGATATTTTGAAGAATGTGGGCATCCAAACTGTTGCTGTTTCCCATTGACTTCCTATTTTTTCCCATACAATGGAAGTCAGTAGAGGCCAGCAACTACTTGGTTACTCACTTTCTTTAAATTAAGCAGAAAAAATAAACTCGTACAGGTTTGGAACAAATTAAGGGTGAGTAAATGACAGAATTTTCATTTTTCAGTTAAATATCCCTTTAAGACATAACACAAGATCATTGCTCTTACCCAGTGGCGATGACTGTGTTCTTGGCTCTGAAACGGTGGATGGATCCGTCCTCCATGCACAACGCAATGACTCCCTTACACTCTCCATCCTCCATCAGCAGATCCAGGGCAAAATATTCCACAAAATAACTGGTGTCATACCTTAGAGACTAGACACCAACAGACACAATTAGACAGGTGTTCCAGTTCAAACTGAATTTGGCACAGCCGACAGACTGTCTGTCATTTCTGCTAAGATTTTATGTCTTGATTTCTCAATGTTTTAAGTAACCCCAGCCCAAATCACATCCACAGACTCTCACTCACCCGTCCATAGAGCGTGTGAAGAAGAGAGTGACCCGTCCTGTCCGCCACACAACAGCATCTGTGAGCCTGACCTCCTTTACCGAACTTCAGACTCTGGCCTCCGAAGGCACGCTGATAGATCCTCCCTTCCTCGGTACGGCTGAACGGCATACCAAAGTTCTCCAGCTGAAAAGACACAACAACCGCTAATGAGATGGAATTCACAATCATATTGAGGCTAAGTAATGCTTGAGTTAGAGACAGGGAAACAAGAAGTCAGAAAGTGGTCTTTCTATCCAATCTCCTGACAGTAAAGGTGACAGCAGCAGGCTCTGTAAGCGTCTCTCACCTCTACCACTGCAGCAGGCGCCTGCTCTGTCATGTAGTGAATGGCATCCTGATCTCCCAGCCAATCAGATCCCTTCACTGTGTCATAAAAGTGCCAACGCCAGTCGTCCTCCTCCATGTTGCCCAATGCGGCATTAATCCCACCCTATTTTATAAAGAAAAAGAAACAAGAACATTATAAGCCATTTTAAATAAATTGTAATAAATAAATTTATAAATAAAAGTAAATAAATTAAATAGGTTAACACTTCACTTTTATAACCTTTACAAAGAAAGACAAGTGTTTACTTGTCTATATAGTATATATATATATATATATATATAAGGGTTGTGACGGTGAGAATTTTCCCACCGGTTAATCGACGTGTGACAACACCGGTAATACCGGTATCACCGCGGGGGCGGGGGCGTCCCTCTTTTCCTCGCTTTCCTTCGCTTTTAAATAGCTTGCAAAAGCGGCGCGCGCATTTTACTTTCACTTTCAAATAGTGGCAATTCGGCGTAAAGCAATTGTTCGTTTTTAACGTCAAACGTGTATATATAAAACATAGAACTTTTATTAACAAAACAAATACACCATGCTATAGGGCAGGCTATGCCTATATGCCTAAATAACTAATAACTTACATAAAGTTTAAATAGGTATACAAAACTGGAAATAGGCTAAGTAAACATGTATAATATATAACTAAATAAATAAGAAACGTAGAACGTTTATTAGCAAAACGAGTAAGAAAGCTTGGAGGCACGGCATACACCTTGATGTCAAATAAAATAAATAAATGACAAAGTTTAAAT